TCAGAACGTTAAGAGCCTTAAAACATGGGATGTTTTAAGCGGTTCACATATGAAAGGCGATGGTCAAGTATCACGTCCAAGAACTTCGAGATTTCCATGACTTAAACCACGTTGCTCTACAGCTTGACCTGCGAATCACTGCACGGCTTTCGGCGGTTACAAAGGTGCATACAGATCGTTTTAGATGCTAAAAATGTAAAACCTTTGAGCCTTCTCCACCAGGCAATGTCATCAGGGCAGAGCCGACTCTAGCAGCCTGCCGACACTGACTTGGAATTAGCGACCCAGATTGCAAAATCGTCAGCAAACAAAGATCGGCCCATGTAAGCGGGCAGTGTGTGACCGAGATGCCGTTCACTATAATGGCAAGTGAGGCCACGCTCACAATGCCGCCCTGCGGGACACCGTTGTTTTGTACAAATCGCCGCGAGCACGTACTACCCACTCTTACCTTAAAAGAACGGTCAAGAAGAAAATTTGCTAAAAACCAGCCCATGTGCCCACGCACGCCACGCTGATGAAGATTTGGCGGAACGCCATAACAGCAAATTGTGAGGAGGGCGCCCTGAATGTCAAAAAAGACCGCAAAATGTGGTGTTTTTGTTTACAGGCTTCCCGAACGACGGTGCCCAAAGTGATGAAACGGTTAACGGTGCACCGGTTTTTCCGGAAATTTCCGGAAATGACATGTATATTGGACAAAAGATCCTCGCACTCAAAAGCCACATAAATCTAGCAGCTGCCATATGCTCAAAGATCTCGCATACGCGCGACATGAGTGAAATAGGACGCTTACTTAAAGGTCGTACTGTCTTTCCGTGTCTTTAATATTGGAACGACTATGAACTCGCTACGCTGCTGTCGAAACACATCGGTTGCTCAAATAAAATCCAAAAGCTGTAAGAGAGACACAAGCGATCGGGCTATCAGGTGCAAATCATTGCGATATTGTTCGCGTCTGGCACCACGCTTCTTGTATTAACGATGGCAGCTGTGAGTTCAGCCATTGTGAAAACGGCGCTGTACGCATCCTTGTTGTCTGAGTTGAAGTCCATAAGGATGCGTTCGCTGGTCCTTTTGTGGCGGATGAATACGGATCCCGTGAGCCCAGTGCGGACAGCGCTGAAATGCATAACCGGATGTGTTTGCAACCTCAAAGTTGCCCGTTACCGTCGTTCCTCTGGCAACCAATACTGACATCCGCATCAACGGAATTTTGCCAAAGATACGCCTGATGCGGCTTCACACGTCAGCTATGGGTGTAAAACCGGTTGAAGCTATTCATGTAATTTTCTCATCTCAGGTGTTTCACCCCTCGTACCGTACGTTTCGCCTCCACCCCTGCGCGCTTGAAGGCGATAAAATTTGCTGGCGTCGAAGGGCGATGAAAACGCTCAAAAGCTCTTTTTCTAGCTAAGATAGCAGCTCTGCAATCCTCCGTCCACCAAGGCACCGGGATACATTGGGGCTTACATGACGTGAGCGAGATCGATGTCCTGGTGGATGATAAAGTAGTGGCGTTGACGCGTCCTATGAGTTCTGTAGCCATGTCGACATACCAGAGCTCGAAATCAATGGCACATTCAGTCCTGAGCTTTTCCTAGTCAGCCCTCAGAAGGCCTCAACGGGGTGGTCTAATTCCCGGTTGGGTAATGTTCAGTTTCAGCCAGATGAGATAGTAGTTAATGTCACTCGGGGCAGTCATCTACGCTTCAGGTGAGTTACGCGGCTAGAGTTATTATGCTTAATGAAAAGTCGATGGCTGGAGCATCATCGGATGATAATGGCACACGCGTGAAGTGACCTATGTTCGACACATTCTGGCGGTTTCTGTTCAGACAGTCCTCAAGACGGCGTCCTTTGCCGTTTGTGTGACCACCGCCCCACACCCGGTTATGCGAATTAAAATTACAAACGACTAGAAAAGGGGGCGGAAGTTGATCAAAGAAGAGCTCAGGTGCAAGAATGTCTAGCTCGTCACCAGGTGGAAGGTATACAATGTACACGATCAGTTTTAGCAAACCAAGGTCCATTCTGACTGCGACTGTTTGGATGACCGTTTGGAGGGGTACGCTGACGTACGGGACGCCGTGTTGAACTAAAATCACGACGCCGCTGTGGGGAACATTGCACAGAGGTCTATTCTGAATATGTCGTATCAGTTCATAGTGTGAGTAACGTCTGCAGCGAGCTTAGTTTCTTGGTGGCATGCCACGGCTGGTGCCTTTTAGTGCAAGATCCTCGACAAGTCAGTGTAATTGGCTTCAAAGCCCTTGACTCTCCGTGTTTCGGACTCCACGGACGCTGACCGCACTCTGGGCGGGACCTGGGACTCCCTCCATCTGTGGATGACACTGGCCAGGGTGGACCTTGCTTGGCACCACGGCTGGCGGGGGACGAAGTCGGACGCTCGTCTGTGACGCTCAGTGATGGTGAGGGTAGCGGACCCATCGGCCCCGATGTGGAAGGTGAGGTAGATAAGGGCGACGCGGTGGATGGAGGCGGAGGAGGGAGAGGAACGGGACGGGCCAACCGCGCCGCGCGCCCCAGCGTCGCGAGGTCGAGAGATTCAGGCCAGCCGCCTGGGCCAGCCGTCTAACCCCGCGGGAGCGCCGCTGTGGGCGGGTGACGGCCGACCCGTGCCGACTCATCAGCGCGAGGGGAAACGTCGTTGCTCTTGGAAGTGGCCCGAGGCGGGCTCCCGCTCCGAACCGGATCTCCTCCAAGAACCTGTGCTCGCTCTGGTGACACGCTGGCGGCGAGGGACGCCCGTCCCAGCCCCGTGGAGGCAGACCGCGCCCTGCCTCGGGTGTCTGTTATGTTCGCAGGGTTCTGCCCCTTCCCCAGGCTCTCCAGGGGCTGGCGCTCGTCCAGGGGAACACAATGGCGACCGGGACTGTCCAGCCACCTCTTGGCTGTTCCACAGGAGCGACCGCCCTACCAGGGAAGGGGGGGGGGCAGAAGCGGCCTGGCATTCCTCGGCGTTCGCAGACACATCAAGTGTCGGGGTGGGTGCAACCGCCGGCTACGTTGGACAGCTGTTCATCCTTCCCCCACTACAAGCGTTGTTTCCATCGACATGGTTAACTCTAACGTGCGCGAAGCAAGCAAGAAGGTAAAATCCCGCTCCGAGGGGTTCATCGGTGACGCAGCTGCCAGCTGATTGCAGTGATGCACTGATTGCAGCTAGCACTTCAGCTGATTGCAAGATTACGCCCAAAAACCACAAGACCACTACTTAACTGCTTATAGTTTCGCACGGGACTGCACGTGTTTAGTGCAGGATCTTGAGAGGAAGCTACGGCACCGTGGCTCTTTTTGTGGCCCCAAGGGGCTCATAGCCGGTAGAGCGGGAGCAGTTTTTAGCACAAGACGTAACAAAGTTCACATATTTGGGTCTTCAGGTGACCAATGTCACTCGCAAGCGAAAGTGAAAGGCCCATGAGCAGACCAAAATAGTTATTCGCTGATTAAGAGAGTAGCAAGGGCAATTTTAAGACTCACTGTGTTATCCAGAGGCCGCTGTTGTTGGGAGCACTGTGTGTCCTTTACCGGGTTAATCCGATCAATAAGGAATCTTCCACGTTGCCATTGATTTCTCTACATTTGTTCGGGCACCCTTACGCTGTTTCTTGGGCAGCGACGTAGACGGGAAGGAGGGCACAGGGGCAAGTGCACATCCTCCTGACCCGCATAGAAGTGCGGGACCCTCAAATGCCAGTCGACCGTTTTGGTCGACTGGGGGTCCCCCGAGCCAATGGGGCCCCTATGTTGGGCAGGCAGCATCAGCGCCGAACAGTCGGCCCCGTGTCGGCTCTGACCTGAGGATTAATTTGCTAAGCAAGCACAAGGTCGGGGCTTGTGATTTGCAGTGGTTTGGCCCCTGAGCCAATGAGCCGGGTTGGCCAGAAGTCCACAGTGCATAGCAAGGGCCCTGTGTTGGCAAGCGGCCCCGAGTCAACCAGGACAGTGTTCTAGGGTGTCTTAAGGGAGGCCCAAAATATCTCCCGAGGCTGATGATCAAAGGCCCAATGGAAAGGCTGAAGGGTCCAAGAAGCTGGCTGTAGGTCACATTCAGGATCCCAGTCCGTAGGGCCGTGAATTCAGATGTCGATCAGATGGACTCTTGCATCGATTGAGACCCTCTCAGAGAATGCGGGCCTCTGGTTCGACCAAAGACCACCGACACCCAAGAGCAAGCTCCGTGTCGGTCTCAGCCCAGGGGGCCCTTTCCCGAGGAGGAACGAGGCTGGGCACGCGATTTGTATTGTTTGAGGTGCCTGAAAAATAAGCGGCCATGTGTCGGTCACGGGCCCACACTGCCAAACAGATGGCCTTGCGTCGACAAGTCCTGTCTGGCCCCGTCCTGCCCGGTTTCCCGTTATTTGACCTGTTTTCGCCCGGCTCGGTCTTCACCCATGGCGCCACAGCTGGCTCTGTCTGACCCGGTCCGATTCTGTCAGTGTGCGTGATAACATTCTGTCCGATTCCTTTCCATCACTTATGATGCTCTTCGATCCTGTCTCATAACGCCCGGCCGTTTTGTCCCGTCTGGTTTGGTCCGATCCCATTGGTTCATGTTCAGTTCGCTCCAGTAATACCTAGTCTTATCCCATTCGGTTGCGTCTGGCCCCATCATGTTCTGTCCGGTTTCGCCTGGTTCCGTTCGATCTGTTCCGTCTCGTGCGGCTCCTTTCAGTCATGTACGGTGCCGTCCGGATCCCGTCTAATCCCGCCTGGTTATGCCTGATCTCGTCTGATCCTATCTGAATCCGTGCGGTCCGCTCGGTTTCGTCTTGACCACCCGGTTTTGCCTAGTTTGATCTTTCCTGGCGGGTCCCGTCCGGCCCTGTTTATATGCTGGCCTGGTCGTACCCGCCACAGCCGTTGCCATCCGGCCTCATTTCATATTCATCTCAGATATGCAAAGCAATCCATGGGCGCATTCCTACAGCACATAACTTTCAGTTACCATTTGTCATTCGACTGGAAGGGACCATCATGAGACGGGAAGTGCCCAGGTCCCCTCATTGACTTGCCAGTCTTACACGCGCAACATCACCAGAATGAGTGACGTAGTGACGTAGTGACTTCAAGAGCAATCAGCTGCTGGGAGTGTCAGCGGACTTAACTACAATCAGCTGACAGTTGCACCCCGGATTCCTGCGTCCGACTGTGCGCATGCCGAGCGGTAGACGTAAGGGGAAACGTGATTTCATAGCATTATATAGGACGTAGAGCTATGTAAGGTGTTACAGGGATTCATAAATGTCTGGTTAATGCGCCGGGGACGATTTTGTGTGGTTTGCTTGCTGAATTTAGCTGATGTGGACCATTTTACTGAGTGCGAGGCCTGCCCTGGCGTTACGTATTATTGGTAATCTGCGTGCAGTTTCCACATTCCAATTTACGATGTAGTCTAGCAGACAATTCGGGAAGACAACCCTTCGATTGAGAACGCTGTGTCTTAGTTCGGTTTGTTTATTAAAATCAAAGTTAATTTTGACATTAACTGTGACAAAGACAAATGGCGAGTCACAGGTCACATGTTATGATCCAAACGCACAGAAATGTTATAAAGTGCAGTCAAAATCAAGTACACAACATGGCTTAAGTTTTATTTCTAACTTTGAATACCTGTATTACACAGCAATACTTGTATTGCATACCTGTAATACAATGAATCACTTCAACATTGTGTGGGGCTCAACAATTATCAAGTCTTTCTTGTGCTGGTATTCTTTCTTATGTTTATTTGAATTTTTCAGATGCTCTTGAGTGGCAAGTAAGCAAGAGCACCTTAAGTGCACCCCTATAAGTGCTGATCATTACTTAGCTCTGAAAAGTCTTGCAACTTGGAAGCAAACATGCAATCACTGCGTAGCTTATTGAATGCCATAATATGAATAATGTTTTTATGACATCATGAATGCCAAGGTGACCTTTAAATGCTCTCACAAATTACTCTCCTGCATCTTTTCAGCCTGAAAGCTTAGGAACCAGAGGCCTCACTAGAAAGACCATGGCTGTGAGCTGCATCAAAAGGTCTTCAGTATGGTTATTTCAGTTCAAGAATCCATACAAATGTGGAGCACTCTCTTTAACCAAAGGGATCATCAGCCTCCTGTGTTTGGACTGGGTCACCAGATGTTGAATGTTGGCAGATTTTTCTTGCATAGTTCAGCGTACATGAAATTGCAAGGCTGTGAGCCTTTTGTAAATTATTGGTGGGCTGCCCTATAGGCCTGCCCACACAATGTGTGAGCTTGGTGAGAATAACTAGAATGTGTGTATTGTTGTTCAGGTATCTAGCAAATATATATTACACAATTTCTCTAATATGAAAGCTGGCATTTGGGGTTCACTTGTTCAGTGAGCCCATGTTAAAAAGTTGTATTCTCCCTACACCAAAAGCCTCCCACAAAGGATTTTAGCAAGCATGGTCATATAGGCCGTAGGTCTGCCAGGTGTTTTAGGTCTTCAACATTGATTCAGAGAAGTCTTTGAAATCCTTTTCAGGACATTTCAAGGCAACTGTGCAGTACCAGGTTACTGTTGCAACACTTATCATTGTAATGTCAACCATTCTGCTTTTAAGCATAACTGCTTCCCAAACAGGGGTGTAGTTTGCTATTCACCACTGATGGTATCAGCCCTAAATTGGAGGGGAGTTGTCCTCCAAATTTACTCTGTCCCCCAAATTTATTTTGCGGAACTTCGCCCCATTTTAAAGACCCGGGAAACAGGTGTCTGTGGTGAAAGACTATCCACAAAGGGCAGAGGACAGGAAAGACAGATGCTTCAGAGTTCTTGTGGTTGTGACACGCAATCCTTCGGCGCGTCGACGACAGATAGCCGGCGCGTTTGCTGTTCACACGCCCTGGCTTACACGACGCCCCTTGTATGCATACCATAGTGACAGCTTTCTGCAGACTTGTGCGATGCATGAGCTGAGTCAATGCAGCTTGTAGTTCGGCGGCGCTATGACAGGCCGGCTGACGGCTGACGGACGGCTGACGGTAGCAATGTCACCGTGCCATCGCCGCTGTGCTGACCTTAAGGCGGCACTGCCAACTCTGCACAGCAGTGGCGGCCACCATCATACCTGTAGCACCTAGCACGGTGTCCGGTGCTACCTCTGGCCGCGCTTGAGACGGCCAGCTTTGGATGGCTACCGTCGCGATGGGCCCCATATGTCAGACACAATCAGCTAAGCACCCACCGCCACACATTGTCGTCTGCGGTCTAATGGCTATGTAACACCTGTCAGTTATATTTGATAGATATACAAATATGAAACATTATGTATATTTCTTGTGATAACTCACAACACATTTCACTGCACAATGGTTGCTTATTCATGCTTTACATGTTATGCATGCACATACACACACACACACACACACGCACGCACGCACGCACGCACGCACGCACGCACGCACGCACGCACGCACGCACGCACGCACGCACGCACGCACGCACGCACACACACACACACACACACACACACACACACACACACACACACACACACACACACACACACACACACACACACACATATATATATATATATATATATATATATATATATATATATATATATATATATACATATTCACATATATGTTCCAAACTTAGCAGGCAGTGGGTCTGAAAGAGGTCCTTTTAACATGGGACTCTATGGGCTAGTTGTGAAATAAACACCATTTCCACTTCTGCTGATGGTGCCTAACCTATCAAGTAATGTGGGTTTGTCATTTCAGGAATGGACACCAAGCCGGACCAGCTTCTGTCTCTGTTTGTTCAGCCATGGAGCAAAACCTACAAATTCTCATGCAAAGATGCTTCAGAACTAGTGGCCAAAGAAACAATGGCAGAAAGCCAGTACTCATTCAGGATACCTGCTAGTCTGATGTAAGTATCCCATGACATACAATGTGCTATTGTTGCAAGCTTATATATAGCAGGGTTTGCTTATTGGTGGGCTGAAAGTGACCAGTGGCATGCATGTATTTTTGGACATGTTAGTTTAATGCTCTGATTATGCTATATGTGGCAATTGGTGATTTGTGTGCTTTACCCTGCATCACATGTCCATGAGGTGGTTTACATATTCCTGTAATAATGTTTGATTTTTATGTTTGTGGCAAGTTATGTCTTGTTTGCAATTTTTACCTGTCATGTGAATATCTGATGTTTTTATCACAAGAGAGCTGCTCATGGAAGATGAAAATCAGTTGCTGGATGAGATGAAACAGCTGGATGCCTTGGCACCTCCATACTGCACACTAGTTCAAGAGGCAGTAGTTCGTCATGAGGGACTGCTTTTGTCTTATTCCCGTGCCAGGGAGACACTGAAGACGCATTCTGGTAAGACAAGGGTAAGGACAGAGGTAGAAAATGACAAATCCAGCATTGAAATAAAGCTGTGTGTTGAGAAATATACTTAGCAAATCTGGGCATTGTGGTGTGCAGTGAAACAGAATAAATATAGCTAATAGTTGTGGTATGAGCACCCCACTACTATTCTTGTCATTTGTGTGTGCTGGTTACCAAAATCATCTGCTTTTTTGGGCATCAAAATTATATTGACAGTTACTTATGCCCCTCTCCCTCTCTCCACTGTC